ACATAATCATTACTCTCTGCAGCACACATCAATGGAAGAGTAAATCAGGTTGATATTGAGCTCTGAGCATGTACATCGATGGGATAAGTCTGTGTAGGCCTACTGTACCCATAGCTTTGTACCCATATTGTGAGAGGTTATATTAACAGAACAAATAGTAGAAACATAAAATAGATGATATTAATCAATTTAATATATTCACTTTTTTGTGTCGATTAATGAATGAACCCAATTAATTGTATTTTCCATAATAGACAAAGTATGGTAGATGTAATACTCAAGGTGTTGTACTTAGCAAAGAGCAATAAATAGGCTACTGCATGTGTTGTAGCTCTTAGAAAGAATGCATTTGAAAACCTATTAGAGGAAATACTGTGGAATATGTATCCCCTGGGATATTGTGCTATAGCATTCTAATGGCTACATCTATTGAAGTTTGAACAGACCATTATTGATCAAAGAGCCATGTCCTATAATACAAGTACTGTAGCTCACTTGCAAACTTATTATTTTATTTATTTAGCTTTCCATATGTGCTGCTTAAAATGTGATTGCAATGCATTTCTTACACATACATTCATACTAATTTACCAGTGTAAATACACAAGCGGTATGTTGATGGTTGAGGATTTCATATCATTACACATTTATAGGATTGTTGCAATATCAAGACACAAACATAGAAAAAGAGTGACTCTTTGTACAAATCTCTGTTGTATTCCACAAGGTCTTTCTGTAAACTGCTCCATTTGTGTTTGTGTGTGTTTTGAGTTACTGAGGGAGTGGTTCACTTGAAACAGTGTGTGTGATTTAGCAGTTGAGCTAAAGAGTGAGTGTGTGAGTGTCTGTATGCAAGTCTGTGTGTCTGTCTATTAGCAAATAGGGAAGGTAGGGGGTACTCCACACCACCTAATCCAATGGGTTTTTCCTCCCATCTCTCTGCAGCAAATGAAATTACAGAGCTGTTATGGGTAGCATTCTCAGATTTCTCTTTGAATTGTTTTTTCCTCGCTCCCCTCCATGCATGCCAGTGGCCGAATCCCAAGCCAAAGAGACATCCTTTCATATAACATATCCACATATTATCTACCAGCTTGCGAGACTGCCAGGGTGGGGACAGCAGACCAACTTCCGACCTTCCACCCTAATGCAGTCTAACACAGGAGCTTGATGTCATGTTGCTGGGCAACCAGAAAGGAGAATCTGCAGCATCACTCTTGATTTACTGGTCATTAAAATAGGCAATATGTAACCCCACCTGTTGTAATCAGTGGAGCTGTGTGCTGGTTCTAGTCCTACATTTCAAAGGACATTGGCTCTCTTAAACAGTTCACATTATAAACAATATTTTTTTTTACAGATAAAGAATATTTTGAGTTTCTCTAAACAGTCATTTGTTGTCATGATGTCTCGAGTTATGTTGGCAAACATGTATTCAGAAACAGCTCAATTGTACTGCTGGCTTGTCAGAGAACAACATGTGAGCCATACAGTACTGTGAGGGGGTGTGGCACAAACTGATAATCACATCATTGTGAGACAGTATGGCAGGAATAATCAGCACTTTACCATCATCTTCTTGTTTACTGCCTCCAGTATTCAGCAGCCACAATAGGCAAAAGCGTTATTGGGCAGTAATGACTATTTCAACATTTTTATTAATAATTAATAAAAATGTTCCACCCACTTAAGATGCTAATAGTTTCCGGCAGTAGCCACAATGCGCACTCAGAAACCAGATTCTAGCTTCTTGCAAAGATGTTTGCTAAAACATAGTGCTCACTGAAATGATAATATCACAAACCTGTTCATATGTTCACATCTGAAGCTCCCTTCTTGGCCCGGAGCAACTAAAATATTTGGAAGCTATTTTTACATATATTGTGTTTTCCTGTCACTAACAATGATTTGCTTAAAGTGCTTTGGATATCCCAAGAGATTCAAAAGATCAATGTAAGTTGAATCATTAGGATGTGAGTGCTCATTACAATTTACACATGAGCTAGACACTGATAACTCCAACATTTTACAGCTTCTGAAATGAGCTAATGCTGATTGAGGTTTCGTAGTTATCAGCATTGCCATCAAGTTTATAAATGTAAAAGCTGATGCTAAATGCCTCTGATTTTGTTAGCACTTAAGATACAAATATTTTCAAAATGAAAGCCTTGCACTAAACTGAAGGTAATCAAGACAGTCTGAAAATTACTGAATTCTATTCAAAATAGTTGTGAATCCTTTGTGATATCAAGGGCATTAGTTTACCAAACCAAGATTAGGTGAGTTGAAGTGCAGCATTGACTTCAAAGTGCTGAATATGTTATGTATGTAATGTATATATGATACGTATAAACAATCACAACAAAAATCTCAACATAAGAAAATAAGTGTTTGGTTATTATATGTTAAAGAAATAAACTGGTGAGCTCTACATTTCTAATGAGACTTTTGAAAGATTGTTAGCAAATCACATTCAACTAAAAAATGTCTTTGAAAAAAAAACTCTTGGAGAAAATACCAGACACATGTTCATTCACACACAGGGTGGGAAAGTAGTTTTAAGCAGTACATTTTTGTATGCAGGTAGGTTTTGTATACGACAATTAAGAAGTAAGCTATGCATAAATGAAGATATTATTCTACACCAGCTCCATTGGTTTTCAGCATGTGTATAAAAGTGTGTATAGTTATAACTTTGAGGATATTTGACTTTAAATCCAACTCTAACACCTCTAACATTCAGCTCAAAAAGACAGAAACAGCAATACAAATGAAGGTCCTTGCATACATCAAACAATATATAAATGTATTTTATAAAAAGGAAGTTATGGAATGTTTTGGCATACTTGAGGTACATGTAATCTTTATTATTTTGGCATTTCAGTAAAATGGGTTATAGCAGTGTCTTGCATGCATTTATTTATACACTACAAGCATTATGCATGATGGGAGATGTTACATTTTATGTAATCAAACATTCTTTCGTTATGCATAAAGTATATTGTAAGTATTGAATGTTTTAATAACATGCAAAATATACTTATATTAATGGAAATATACTTTTACAACATGAAACAACAGATGAAGTTGTGACAAAGTCCAGGGTGGTTGTCATGGCCTGGGAAGTACAACTGCAACCATAAAATGTAAACAGAAGTAGGAAACATGAGATGTGTGATTCCATGTCCTTGAGACAATCATTCAGAATATTCTTAGCCGTCTTTCATCCAACTGATATTTATCATGATAAAGATTGAGAGGTAAACTGTGAAAAAACAGTTTAAAAAATAATACAAAAACATAAAATATCAATAAATAATGAAATGAAGTTAAAGGTTGAAAAATAAAGCTAAGCTTAAACAGCAAAGTCATAGAACATCAACATGATTTAAAAACATGGCTTTGTAATTATTTGAGGAACAATTAGTGTTCATTTAACAGTTTCCTTTGACCTTTTCCCCCTGCTAAATGTGCAGCTTGCCTGTCTGCTAAAATACAGCAGATCATGGAGAACATTTGGTTTCATATCACAGGTGATAAATAGTAGTTCTTCAATCAATTCCATACATTTATAACCATAACATCAAGTGCCATTGTAAAAAAACAACTAGGAAAGAAAGGAGACACAACGAGGAAATGGAAGACACATGAAGGAGAATATTTGAAATGATGCAGATGTCCTACAAATAGACATGATCACAGATAAACTCGTCATGGAGCAAACTGTCAAAGAGTTGTGGTTCAGCAAGGTCATTCATACAGAGGGTCATTTAGAGTGTGTACACAGCAAATGCTTGTTATATTTTTTGCCTTAAAAAAGAAAACATCGTTTTTTGATACAATCTGTTTATACTAGTAACATTTTAAATGGTACATCGCTAGTATATAGCCGGCTGAGATTAAGTATTTGAATGGTGATTAAATAAATATGAATGTGCAAAATATTCCTGCCATGCGTTATGGCTTGGACTCTGATAAACACAATCGATGCACAGGGCTGGAGTTGTTTGGACTGTAGGCTTAACTCACAAATAAAAAAATCCATTTGCATTTCATCAAGCATGATTGACGTGGATAGAACACGATGGAAATAGTGTACTACAGCATGCACACTGATGGAGAAACATTCATGCAGGTCTACATTTCTAGTAACATGCAGCGAATCTGACTTTGTGTCTTGGATTTTTCCAGTGGCGGTATCAGCAAGCAAGGCTAGCCTTATTGCCCCTGAAAGAACAACCCTTTTGAAAAGTAATTTTTTTTATAAAAAGTCAACAAAGCAAACCATTAAATCTAAAAATAATAAGAGCCATATAACATGTTTTTCTGCTTGAAAAAAAAGATAGTTAAGTAATACAACTTTCAGTGATATAACAATAATTCAAGACACTGGATAGTAGAACTGCAATATAATAAAGTCAAAGCATGAACTAATGTGTCTTTCTGAACACTTAGCCAAAAGGCATCCTTGCACCTAGAACACGGCCAATTGGTCCCACTAAAGCCAAAATGAGCAACCAAACTTTAGACTCAAGTAAGCATGGTCGGTTTGGCATATAGTTTATCTTTTAAAAGAGGGAGTCCAATGGATGTCTTTCAAAGGTTGTAAACATTTTCGTCATTAATTAAAATGTCTTTGTTGCATCTCCAGAATTCCTTCACTACTGCTCTCTGACATCTTTGCCCTCAACCTCCTTTTCACTTTTGTCTTTTTCATATTTGTGTCTTCCATTTGAAGTCACACTGTTACATGAAGGCTGAAGGGCCGCTGAAGGCGTCAGTTCACTTTTATCGGCGCTAGAAATGTCTTGGAGTTTGTCGGTGACAACATCCTCTTTGTCAATGTGTGTTCCATCCCTTTGAATGTTAACACCAGATCTGTTTGAGGGCTTCATGAAAACACGACTCCTTGCATAACATCTGTATGCTCTCTGGATGACAACGGCTGATGTGTCCTCCTGTTTGCGACGGAGGGTGGTAGTGATTGGTTCATAGGAAACTTTGGAAGGATTGGAGGCCATGAAGCGCTCCTCCATCTGCCCCCTTAGGATGTCCATCTCCCCACCTTCACCAAGAACACGTTTTGTGAATGCAAACAGAATGTCCAGGCAGTGAATGCGTTCACCATTCACCATGGGTAGATCCATAGAGATCAGTACCATCTTGTTAGGCATGGGTATACGTAACGGTGGGTCCAGAGCATCTGCAAATTCTGAAAGCTTTTTGTACTCCATGAACTGTGTTGCATGAGGATCAAACCTTTCCCAGACCTCGTAAAACGTTTCAAAATCATCCTCACTTAGTGGGTCGGCGCTCTCCTCAGTGGCCACACCGAAGTTTTCCAGGATAACAGCAATGTACATATTTATCACAACCAGGAAACAGATGATGATGTAGCTCACAAAGAAGGCGATGCCCACAGGAGGATTTCCACAGTCTCCCTTAATATCACTGCCAGGATGCTCTGTGGAATTGTCACAATCATCTTCATGTTTGTTGAGAATGGGCGCAAGAAGGCAATCCCACCCTGCTGAGGTGGTGATCTGGAACAAACAGATCATGCTGTTGGCAAATGTCTCAAAATTGAAAAGGTCATCAATGCCTGCTTCCTTCTTGACGTAAGCGAAGTTTGACATGCCGAAGATAGCATAGATAAACATCACCAAAAAGAGCAAGAGACCAATGTTGAACAAGGCAGGAAGTGACATCATCAAGGCAAACAAGAGTGTGCGAATTCCTTTGGCACTTTTAATAAGGCGGAGCACACGGCCAATGCGAGCCAATCGGATGACTCTGAACAATGTTGGCGAAACAAAATACTTCTCTATCAGTTCCGAGAGACACATTCCTGGGGAAAGAGAGCAAAACATATTAAACCAACTGTAAACAATACACACTTAAACTGAAAAGAATAATGGTTTTAATTTATTTGAGCAGTGCTGTGAATAGTGGCGATTCATACCGATGATTGACAGGACGACGACGATGAAGTCAAATACATTCCAACCATTTGTGAAGTAGTATTGGCGAAGCGCGATCATCTTCAACAAACACTCTCCAGTAAAGATGATAACGAATACTAGATTGATCCAGTAAAGAACTTGTTTTTTTTCTTCTGACTGGTCTTCAGTTTCTACCATCATGGTTACCATATTAAGCCATATTAGAACCATTATTAAAATATCGAATGCTTGTTTTGTGGTGAAGTCAAAGACATATCCTTGAATTTGGTTCTGAAATAGACATAAAGTGGACACAACTTTTTTTTAAGTGCCATGAAACAAAGATCACAGTTGTAATACAGATTAGACGCAGACTGAATTATAGTTACGTACTGATGGTCTAGGAATAGGCTTTTGTGGTTTCTTTGACCCCAGCTTTTTCATGGCATTGTAGTATTTCTTCTGTTCTTCAGTCATGAAGATGTCTTGACCTCCAAAGTAAATAAACAATATGAGGCATGTTAAATCATAGCAAAGGTGATAAGGAGACACTGCAGACATAGATTCATGCTTTTCAATTTTTGAATGTCAATCAGAATATCAAGTGAAAATATCCATATTCGTTTAGATACTTATCTTTTTCTTTTGCTGATTGAAGTTGTCTATGATGACACCAATGAAGAGATTGAGAGCGAAGAAGGCTCCAAATATGATGAAAACAACAAAAAACCAGTACATTTCCAGGCTGTTCTCATAATCTGGATGTTCATCCTATAAAAGGGAGAGGAAATTGAGACATTAGTACTTAACAGTTATAATCTTTAAAATGTTAATGTCATTTGGAAACTGGTGCTAGCCGTAAATACAATATAATACTACAGCTTATACTCCTAGATAAGACCTTTGAAGTACTTGTTTACAGTGAAGCCAAACAAACTCATGTTGTTGTAGTAATAAAGAATTAAGTCAAGGATAACTGCAACAGTCTGATTTCACACGGCACACGTCGCAAGTAGTTTTCACTTGTGATGTGTGCTCACAATGTGTTGGATGGATTTATTTTGAAAAATTTCAAAACAACACCAAGGTACATGGCATGGAGTAGGTCAAAATACTTATTTGTGATCCAGCAACTTGTTGTGTAGTTTACAGAGAAAGATAATCACATGGTTTTATTACATACACTTTTTAAACCTAAGTGTTGTAATATTGGGTGGGATTAATTATCAGTGAGATAATGGAACAGTGCAAGTGCAACATTAAAATGTGATTACCTTGCCTCGAGAGTCCACAGCAGCATACATGATTTCCATCCAGCCCTTGAATGTAGCCTTTATAGAAATGAACAATTTCCAAACAAAAGTATTTCTCACTTACAAATCACTTCTTGATATCCACCAAACAGCAAATAAGACATTGGCAAGATTACATCAACAATTTTTTCTATGATCAGTTACTTACCACTTGAAGCAATGCAAGGTATCCCATACCAACATTGTCAAAGTTGACTTTGTGGATCTTCCAACGAGCATTGGCCATTTTTTCACATTCTGACTTGTTTGTCACCATTGATATAGGGAACTCTTCATTTGAGGTTTTGTTGGCACAATAGCCGAACTTCCCCGCAAATAAGTTTACTCCCATGATGCTGAAGATGAGCCAGAAGATGAGACAAACCAGCAGCACATTGAAGATGGAAGGAATTGCTCCAAGCAGGGCATTGACCACCACCTGCACACCAAAACATCAACTTAGCCCATCATAGGATAGGATGTACTGTAGATTTAATGAAAATCTAAAAAACAATGATAACTGTGATAAGGTGGGAACAAAATAGGTATGAGATTGATGTTGTGTTATGTATCTAAAGGTTGTTTAAGTGCCTTACCACTACATTTTTAGAGAAACCGGAGACTTTTTATAGAGGCAATGTAATGTCAAAATATTAGTTTACTAGCAAAAACATGTAAAATGCTTGTAAATACCGGTATGTCATATTAAAGAACAATGAAATTGTAATGACATATTTTGACACATAAGTAGCTGCTTTTGCCAGTAAGTAAAGCTACCACTGGAGAAAAGACTATCATCTTAACAGTACTCTGAAAAACCAGGACAATACAACATGAATGCAACTAATCAATAAATACTACATTGATTTTAGCAGCCGTCAACCCTCCCCCTTTGGTTACATAAGTTGTCCACCCCTGTTTAGACCAGGTTTGCGTTGCACAGCAAAATATTGTAAGGGTGTGAGAAGTCACAGCAGACATGGCCTCACACAATGGAAAAGTCTGACATTTAGCTTAGCATTGTTAGCTTAGCTTAGCATAAAGACTGGAAAAAGGTAGATAGCCTACAGTAAGCCTGGCTCAATCCAAAGATAAAAAAATCCACCTACAACCATTTCAAAAGCTCACTCATTAACATGCTGTATACTTTTTAGCCTTTTTAGTGACTCCAGGAATTCAATGCTCCTAGCCCAAAAGGCAGAGGAGAAGAGATGAGTTTTGAGGCCGGACTGGAAGAGTGTGAGGGACTCTGAGTCACGGAGGGAATTCCAGAGTCTGGGATCTGGATCATGGATCTTTATGCCACTCTCTGCCACTGCCGGTGCAGTAAGATGGTGACATACAAAGATAAATCAAGGGAATCTTACCCTCATGCCGTCAAACCGAGAAAGGGCTCTCAGTGGCCTTAGAGCTCGAAGGGTTCTCAGAGACTTGATGGCACCAAGTTCAGAATATCCCATGGCATTGGCTACCATACTGACCACTGAGACCTAAAACACATACAGATGTTAATAAAAAGAAGCTAAGAAATATTTTAAGTAAGTTAATGTGTCATTCTGTGTAAGAAGATCTGTTTCAACCTACATCGACAATGAGGAAGTCTAGCCAGCACCAGGCATTTGTAAAATACTTGGCATATCCATAGGCCACCCACTTCAGTAACATCTCCAGAATGAAGATGTAGGTGAAGATTTTGTCCGCAAACTCCAACATCGTTTTAATGGTCTTCCTCTGCTCAATGTAGATGTCCTCAAATGCCTGATCATGGAAAAAATGGCAGTGAGTAATTAATTCTAAAAAGGAATCAGACAAAATAAATTTTTAAAATCTAAACCTTACTTTGCAGAGAAAGGTTTTTAAAACAAATATTTTTAATGTTAAATAAAAGAAAAAAGGTAAACAACATTTTCTTTTAAAATCTAATGCCGGACGTGATGCCTAACACAATCGATTAATACATAGGAGGAGTCAGTCAAATCAGTTGTTCAAAAATAACTTTATGGTTATTTTTTTCCCCGCTCATGCTCTTACCAGTGCTCCACTGCTGAGCAGGATCATGAAAATGATGAAGCTCTCAAACCAGTTGTGCTCCACGATCCGGAAACAAGTCTTTCTAAGCGTCCACCACACCTTCCACCAGCCCACTTCCACTTTTACTTGACAACACTGGTACTTTCGCACACACCCTGAGTATGGAGAAAGAGAAGATGGCAAATCACCTGTTTAATATTGCGTATAAGCATAACAGTGCTGGGTAAAGTTGTGGTTGTAGTAGTATTTACTGTCAGGAAAGCAGGCATCAGGTTCAGCAAATTCTTCTGAATCAAAGTCCACAGACTCTACTCCCTCCCCGCCTGGCAAACCGTCTATTGTACTCCCCTCTGAGGAGCTGACCTGGTCATCCTCTTCCACAATCTGCGGATGAAGCAGAATCAAACCAGTGTTGGATAAGCAAACATAACAGAGCCATGGCAAAGGTAAGGGACTGACATACTGAGAACATGTCTCTCCATGCTCCCCATTTCTCTTCAAAATTAAGTTATTTTCTTACACAAAAACCCTATCAAATTCAAAGAGAGATTTAATTAGTATACATGAGGATTTTACATCATGCATGATGATTTTTGGCATATTTTGATATGTATTTTCTGTTGTTTTGTTTATATTAGGAATAAAATATTTAAGCATTAGAGCACTGACTGCGCATTCTGACTTGTTTCACCCATTAACTGTTTGCTAAGCCAAGAGACGTACGAAATATTTAAAAAATGAAATATAAAAAGAAATATATAAGTACATTTGAGAGTGGCAGCCTGTCGGTGTTGTACGGTAGCATGGTCTTTCAGCCTGCTGTTATATGGCTTTCTACAGGGTGTGTCTCCTAATAGCTGGCAGATGAGAACAGCTTGAATGCCTTCCTAGAGAATGCAGAGCACTGGCTGTCCTGGGACCAGCTAATGCAGTGCAGGCAATGATGTACTTTAAGCATGTTACTGAGATGGACTGTGAGCATTAAAGTCAATGTGTTGATGCTGTGTGCTTTAATGCATCAATTCTGCTTCTGTCAAAGTGCTTCAGCAAAATTACGAGTAATCAGTGGAACATTATGTTTGTGTTTTTTTAAGTAAAATTGCGATTTTTAAATATCTATTGAAAGCATGTCAGCAGAAAGCCTTTGTATGTGTGTGCGTTAACCACATATCCTGTTGGTTAATTGCACTCTTGTGTATTTTATGTCAAGATTCAAAGTCCAATTTTGTCAAGACCCCGACAAACGAATAAAGACGTAAAGCAAACCATAGAATCAAGAATAAAGGAGAAACTTCATTGCATAAGTAATTATCTACAAAAATGGTTCTTATGGAGATTTGTATTATTACAAATTTCAAGGGGAAAAAAAGTAATGTCAAAGAAAAATAGGTGGTCTGTTAAAATGTTTTCTCGATGATTACTGTAGTGTAAATGATGTACACTATCTCCATAATGATTGCAACAAAGTATTATTTAACCTTTGGAGCATCTGTTAAGCAGCAAGCAAGCAGTAGCAACTCAAAATATTGCAAGCTCAGACGAAGGTTGAATAAGTACATTTACAATGCAAATAAAAACGTGGTAACAATAATCATAAAATGGACAGTGTATTTCTTTTTTTCTATTGCACTGTGAGCTTTCTTTCAATGCAAAGCACACAGCACCCTTAAGAGGAGGAGTCGGCTTCCAAGCACTCATGGCCTAAATTGCCCATAATGCAATCTACACACTGGTATTTTCCTGTCTATATGGACTCTCCCCATTAAAGGGCCAAAGGATTTAGTATCTTCAGGGGAAACACCACATCACATGCACATACCATTGCCATGGACTGGGGGCAAAGTGCTTCAAGGGGACTACTGCGACGAATCATGCCACAACCAATAGTGAAATTCTCTTTCATCCATTACACATCCTAAACATTATTTGTATAGACTTATTTCTAACAGTGAAAGTACCTTGATATACCAATCGCGCCAATTCACAAGAACATCCTTACCTCAGGGCATACTACTATATCAGATGAGAGACTGCTGAAGTCCTCTGTGTTGAGGTTTTCAAAGTCTGATTCTCCCAGAGCAATAGGAACAGTGACAGTCAGACTAGGGTTGTGAATGAAAGACATAATGGAATCATCACTCTTGCTACTGACTATGTACTTGTCTCCATTTTTGTCTACTCCGGTCACATCCCCATTTCCATTCTTAGAAAAGTCTTTGATGGTATGGTTGGGTACACCATTTGGCCCTAAAGGTCTGTGGAGCTCATCCAGGGTTTTGTCTTCACCCTTCCTTTTCTTCTTCCTCCTGAGACAGACACTATTGCAGCTGCTTCGAAGCAGGGACTTGACGAAGGCAATGCCATTGTGAATCCTTCCAATGGCAACCTGCAAATTGTTCATGTCCGTGTCGTCTTCTACCCCCGCGAGGTTATCAGAACTGAATGAACTCAGCAGCAGGGCCAGGAACAGATTCAGCAACTAACAAAAATGACATAACTTCATGTAAGATTGCATTTCATGTTTTAGACTTTGTACTTTATGATAACAACAGAACACGAGTATTTATAAATTAGTTAATTGTTAAGTTGGGCTCATAGACCATAAGAGATGACCATAAGACCATAAGAGATGAAAATGTACCACAAGGTTTCCGATAACCAAGACCATCATGTAGACAGTGATGCACTTGGCTGTCCCAGCCACCTCCATACAGTCCCACATGGTTTCTATCCACTCTCCACAAAGCACTCGGAACACAATGAGAAATGAATGGAAGAAGTCGTTCATGTGCCAACGGGGCAGAATGCACTTGTCAGAGATTTTACACACACACTCCTTGTAGTGTTTTCCAAACAGTTGCATGCCCACAACTGCAAAAATGAAGACGATAATGGCCAGCACCAGCGTCAGATTGCCCAAAGCCCCCACTGAATTGCCAATTATCTTGATTAGTGTGTTAAGAGTGGGCCACGATTTAGCCAACTTGAATACTCTCATCTACAAAAGAAAAGAAAAACAAATTATTTCGTATCTATCAGCAAACAACTGCTACTGAACATTGACTTTGGCAAATGTACGGTATACTCACCAATCTGAATGATCTCAGAACAGACATGCCTTCCACGTTTTCCAAGCCCAGCTCCATCAAGCTCAAACTGACAATGATTGAATCAAAAATATTCCATTTCTCCTGGAAGTAATAGTATGGGTCCATAGCAATGATCTTGAAGACCATTTCTGCCGTGAAGATGCTAGTAAAAATCTTTATTAAAGCAAGAATCAGAAATGCTGACTATTAATAAACATGAAACCCATTAAGCAAAAAAGTGTGTTCTTTACAATTCACTTTCAGTCCACTCACCAAATTTCCCACACGCAGCATGCAGGTGAAATGGATAGATATTGGATGATGCTCCATGGCCATAAACAATGTGTTGAGCACAATGCAGATGGTGATGGTTAGGTCCGTGAAGGGGTCCATCACAACTAGTTTAACCTTCCTCTTGATCCTCAACCATCTCGGACAACACTCCCAGATGAGGAAAGTGTTGGCAAAATTGTACCAGCAAGGAGGACACTTCTGCCTCGACTCTTCAAGCTCTGATAAACACAAGTAATGGTTCAACCGAAAAATATGTTTTAATCTGCTGCATCATTTTTATTTTCGATTATGCGAGACAAAATCCAGCGAGGACACTTATGCCATTGTCTACAATGCTTACCTTCCACTGTGCTAGTTATGACACTGGCTGTACTGAGAGCTCTCTGTCTAGCCTCTGGGCCATCAAGGAAGTCAATACACTCATGGTCTGCTCCTCCACCCGGTCTGTATTCTGTGTCAGTGGTGTCAGCCTGAGGATACAAACAATTGTTACGGATGCAACTGTGTTAGAGAACTGGGTTGAAATGCATATAAAGTGGCTGAAAAAACAATAACCAATTGAAACATTGGAAAAATGTAGGAACATTTGAATGTCCAAGTTATGCTTTGTAATTGTCATTCCTGACCACAGAAAACGGCATGAACAGTTGAAAGTGAGTCTAGCATTCACGAAAGCGTCTTAGAGCAAAGGCAAAAAAAAATCAGATACATGATTTTCAAAGTAATTATTTCCAATGCTATAAATTCAGTGTCTGATCAAATTCAAATACTTCTGTCTCTTGTTTGCTTCCATACCAGTTCATCCAATTAAGATTTTGCGCCACGGTTTCACAGATACCAATGCTAGCACAGTGAAATGCTACTTTTAGAAAAAAACTTTCAGTAAAACAACAATTGTTGAAATGATCATGAACTTTGGAATGATGTTCTATTGAAACAGCATCCTGATTCCTACACATGAGGGTATTTGATACAGGCAGTAAAAGGTAACAACAACAACAAAGATGGAGTTATGGGCTATAGGCAAATGAAGTAGGGCAATCTGGGATAGACAACCCTTTCTTACGTGGTCTCCTGTGAAGGCCATATCTACCGTCACTTTGGGCAGAAGTAGCTCCACAGGTGACAGTGGCTGTGAATTCCCACCCACCAGAGACACAACCCCATTGCAGTCTACAGAGCTGTGCTTGATCCCATTTGGTGGAAGTAAGAGATGCGACAAGAAGCTGCATTGGCTCATACTGCTGCTGCGTCGATCACTAGTCCGGGGAAAAAACAAAGAGCCCCTTCGACTTAGGGTGTCCTCAAAAATGCTGTTCTCGTCATCAGCAAATTCATTTTCTGAGCTCACGTCCTGCGCTTGGCTTCGGAAACTGACAATGCTGGTCCTACTATTCCGTCTGGATGAGAACATGGGTCCACGAAAACTCAGAAAGGACTAGAAGAGAAAGATATTCTTATCATCTTATCATAATAAGATAAATTCTGATCATAAAAAAGGAAAGATGACATTGCAATGACCACAATGTCATATGTGCAAATGACATAAAATGGTGAGAAACGAAAATGCCTTATGATAATGAGAAGGTTGACGATGTTCTAAATTATGCTTTGAGGACTTAAAGGAAACTGCAAAATTAAAAATACATGTTGGTGATGAGCACAGTAAGGATCATGAAGATGATGAAGAGATGAAGATTAGGATCATCATGATGCTGATGATGATTTTGACAGTGATGCTGATGATGGTAATGATGATTATGAAGATGATGAGGATGATGAGGATGATGATGAGGATTGTGATGATTGAAAAATCACCATATTTTTACGAAATATGACAAAATTCTCGAGGAAAAAAAAGCATTATTTCGTGGGAATGTGAAGACAATACTAATTGCATCTTGATAATGATTAAAATTAATAACAATGTAAGAAGTTGATCAAGAAATAGAAGATGATGATGAAAATGTCAATGCCAAAGGTGATGATGGGAAAAGAAATGTCATTGTGAAAGCAGTGAATTAATCGTTGCATTGGGCTCACAACATGTACGAAAGTAATCACAAATGTATAAGAAACTAAAGGAAGATCAGTAAATGTTGACAATATTATGTATATATTGAGTAACACATTCTTAATATTGTAACAATCCAACACTTGGTATGACGTTAGAATTCCTCACAACTATCTGTGGCTGTAATGTAAGCTTTGCAATCTCTTTATCAATCCATTAGCTTCTACTGCCTGTCATTCAGTTTGAGCTCTGCAAAGAGCTTGACAAAAGCCAGCAAGTCTTCCTGTTGACAAAGTTAGACATCTGCCATTTAATTACAAAAAACATTTATCACAGACTTGCATCTTATCAATTCTGATGAATATTCTTTCAAAAATATGGCCACTGGAGCACTGCTATTTTCTGACAGGCTCTGTAAGTCAATATTTCATAATGAAATACAATCTTTTTTTTATTGAATAGTACAATTCATGCCAGTATAAGTTGATGGGACTGTAAAAAAAAAGAAAAGTCTTTAATTGTACTATTATTGATTGGTGCAGAATAACCGCATTGAAGATACATGTAGAAGTAAAATTAATGGGAAGAACAATGCATAAATCGGGCTTTAGGGTTGAAAAAGGACATAATAACCTGAAAGCAGGGCAACAGTTCACATCACATCGGTAGCTAACATCGCTGTTTTCATAGACAATCTTACTGGCAGATTATACTGAACCTGATGCGTGGGTGAGCATTTCATGTCATAGTTGAGCTGGTTTGCATCCACAGAGAAGCGGCAGCGACCTTTCTTAATGCTGTCCTGCGACTCGGATTTAGGGACCTTCTTGTCATCCCCTTTGCCATCATCTTGCCTTTTTTTTCTTCTGTTGCGTCTCTCTTTGGCGCTTTTTGAGCTGAGCTTAGAGTCAGAAGAGCTCTCCGGGCCACTGGGTTTATCACTGGCCTCGCCTCTCTCTGCAGCCTCTGCAGTTGCTGCTAGCTAGAAGAGAAGTGAGGACAAATGGGGTAAACACATGGAATAGATCTTTGTGAATCATATGTTGTTCAGGTATTAATGACACTGTGTCATAAAAAGTGTTCAACTGCATGTAGAAGTTTTCCATTGTAAGTGAGAACCAAACATATTCATGCACTGTAACTGGGTCTCAGCTTTTTCCATGTAAACTAAGACTCATAACAGCAAAAGTTAACCACAATCGAAACACTGGCTATAAAACAACTTAGAACCCTCAGCTGTCTTTTGTAAAAACAAATACCTAGTGATAAAAGTAAGATTCATTCCAACTTTATTTAGTTTACTTGAAATCCGTCATTTGACATTAATATTTGGGACATTCGATCGCCCTGTACCTGAGCGTCCTCTTGCTGCTGTTTCAGCTGCTCTATCATGGCCTTAAACTCTTCCTCCTTCTCCTTCGTCTCCTTTATGGTGGCTTGGCTCTGCTCCTCGTAGGCCATAGCTACTACAGCCAAGATCAGGTTGATCAGATAAAAGGAACCGAGGAAAATCACCAGCACAAAAAAGAACATGTAGGGCTTCCCAGCTGCTCGCAATGTCTGGAAGAAAAAATAAAAACAATGTTGTGGTACACTTATTTAATATAGTTATTCAAATGAATTGACCTTGTTATCTTGTATTTCCTAATTCAATATGTTTCTGCTCTCTACTATCTGCCGTAAGTTTAGTTATGATTATCATTATGATGTTATGTGGATAGATCAAAGCAGCATACTTTATGTAAATGTCTCTGTCCCTCCCTTTTACTTGTCTGTGACCAATATCATTTGAAATATTTAAAATGATCATAAACATTTATAGAAAATATAACTTTAACCACATTCTCATGAGTAAAACACCTGATTTTGTTTAATTTAAATAAATTAGATTTAATACCCTGTAAAAACACAGCCATAAAAAAAAGCTTTTTGAAACTACCAAGCTGGTCATTTCAACCAAGTACACAAAGTGCAGTGTTGTATTACTGTTTGCTTTACTTGCTGATACTACAATGTTAAGCCCATTCAGTGGACAACTATTTACCTTCAGTCCCATTCAAGTTGTGTTTGCCTGAGTCACAGTTGGCTCATCTTTGTTCCTTCTGACCAAGATGCACCTGCACTATTTAGAAGTTTGTTTGAACACCATTAATACCAATATTGTATGTAATGTGAGAATGCTTTGTCTTTTTTACAGAGCCCTTCCACAGAAGGCACTGCCCTTTTTTGTATTTGAAGAAGCAGACGGTAAAAATACTGCATCCTCCAAACACTAACACACATGAGGTCAAACATTTCAACAACCTGCCATGTATTACTCACAGGGTCACTGAGAAACTAAACGACCAAGGAAGACCATATTGCATAAGATTACCTTCATAAAGAGCTACAGACTGCCAACGGACACACA